CACACACACGCACACACACACACACACAAGGCTGGTTGGAGTCCAGCAGTACCACAGTCCTCCACTAGAGGGCAGACTGTAACTTCAGGAGCCAGCTTGTCTGACTGGACAGGTTATGAGGTTGTTGCCATAGCTTCAAAATATATTCTGTGCATGTGTGTGTTTGTGCGTGTGTGCGAGCTCCTACCTTTTCTCCGAGGAGCTACAGGCCTGGTTCAGCTCACTATTGGAGATGAAGTTCCTAATCTCTGAGAAATACGAGTCCTCCTTCTCATCCAAAAGTGCATGATTGTCAGACTCAGAGTTCGGTGAGGAAATATTTGTTCCTAAATTTGAGAGGATCCCAGACTGCTGACTCACTACAACAAATAAGTAGAAAAATAAATACATTAATACATACGAATAAGATAAATAAACATACCTAAACAAACCTTATAAACGACAGTTGCATGCGTTCTTGCCAGATACTGTTAGCATTTATTTTCTTATATTTTATATTTATTATCATCTGCACATTTATTTATTTTGGTTAAATTTTTTTAGCACTGATTACTTCCCAAAAAATATGAAAAACATTATTTAAATAATACAGTAATATAAATTCAGGTAATCTTTAAAATATATTATTTACCTAAACTGTTAAAAAAAATACATTTCTACCAACATCACAGATTTGAGTTGCAATTGGAATTTTTATTTATTATTATTATTTTTTTTTAGAAATTATTTAAAATAAAAGCAAGTTGATTTTACCTGGAATATTCTCATGTTCATGTTTCTTTAAGTGGCGGTCCAGATTGGTCTGTTGACCAAAGCAGCGATTGCAAAGGTGGCACTTGAACGGCTTTTCCTTGTTATGAATGTTACGAACATGTCGCTGGAGGTTGGAGGAGATGCTGAATGAACGGTCACAGTATTTACATCTATGAAGAAGAAAAACAGAAAATCATGGATTTTATATGAGGTTTCTGTTGGGGTGAAACAATAATCAAACGCTGTAGGATACATCAGCATGCACACTGACACCAGTTTGGGGCTTGTATGCATGCATTCAACATTCTGAAAAATTGGACATGATCCACATTTTAGTATAACTCTAATGAATCCCGTGTTGTATTGTCACAATGTTTGCTGACAATGACCCCACCAAGAGGCTGACAAAGGTAATGCAAACAGCTTTGAAGGCATGTTGAGCAGTGTAAGATATCTCACAGAAGCTCTAATTTCATTTCCGCATGAAAACAAATACTCCCTTATGTCCTTTTATGGCTCATTGTGTTGCCATTAAGTTTTTCCTTCATGCCAGCCAATGAAATTGTAAACATGATAGATGATGAAGTGAAGTACATTTTCCTTATTTTGATATATACATATGTGATATGTGATGTCCTCTGCGTGCTAGCTTGTCTCAACAGTCACGGTTTGGCTCTCTGTAGCTCACTTGTGTGCAATGTCAGATCAGCCAGAATAGGCAGGAGAACATCAATTTAATGTGCTGATAAACAAACAATCGCAGCGAGGCAGTGTCAGGAGTTCGCCGGACAGTGCCTTCTTTGTTGTGTGGCCGGCGTAGCTTAGACTCCCTCGGTCGCTGCAAAGTTGACTTTCAGGGCTAATTGCTTTGGGAAAATCGCTCGTCATCAAGTGCTCAGGATCAAGATGCAGGCCTCTTTTTATGTTCCAGTTTATTTTGCGAGCAAATGTGTGTGCGCTTCTGCACAGCCCGATTTTCCAGACTTGGCACATCACGGTTCATAGAGAATGGTACAACGCCAAGACAACGTTTCGTTTTTTTTTTTTAAGTCAGTCTTTTCTACCTCCCATTTTGTTTATTTTCATTACTTGGTCCAGAGGGACTTTAAATTACTTCATCATCTCAGTTCTTTTTTTCCTCTGTTACAAAGACTGTACATGAAGCGTTACAATCCGAATGGGGTCTTTCAATGGTCAGACGTAGTGGGCCAATTTCGCTGCATAGCATTGATAGCATCTACAGCAGGCAAATAACCTACTACAATGAAGCCTGAAGCCGGCCCGCTCTGATATTGACCTGACTTTGCCTTTTTTTTGCTGAAAGTAAGATGGGGAGATGCTGATGATGTCTGCTATTTGTTAGGGTAAATTGTTTCTAAATGAGCTAATCAGGGGATTGTTGTGAAGGAGCCAGGCATGTAGCACTCGTGTCCCACGGGAGGCTCTCTATCTCGTCGAGTGTGTTCACAGGGCTCTATGGTAGATTTGTAGAACTCAAAGAGGGGTTTGATTCCGCCTGACCCTTTTTGTACGCTTAGAAAAACGTGTGTGAAACTGCTAGATGTTACAGAACTACCAATTTTTTTTTTTTCTCAGTAGAATGCAATAAAGTTAAAGAAAATAAACTACATTTTTACATTTTCTGAAGAAAAGGTGATGCTAGAGTGTTCACATTGCTATGTTTTTAGGGTGTTTTTTTTATGTGTTTTAAACTGTAGCTGCTATAGTATGGCATTGCAGGTTCTGGGTAGTTGCTATGTGGTTGCTTGCTTAGTCTCATTTTATAATCTGCTAAGCAAAAATCATAAATGTGTAATATCATCTCAACACGCGGCAAAATGTGAGGTAAAATTCATGTCTGTTGCATGTCACATTTATTACTTATGGTCAAGGGTTTGTTGAAATCCCTAACTCTGAGGAATAGTAAAAGTGATGTTTGCCATTGGAAGCACCACGATTAAGAGATTTTCCCTCGTAAATGACTGTTTTCACTTATATTTGTTCAGAAAGTGGACTGTTAAGAAGCCTTTGGCAGTAAAGGTCTTACATCTTAGTCATGCCTGGGTCAAAATATCACTTAAAAATGTGAAAGCCCCCCGATTCCAAAGTACCCTCATCACCCTCATAGAGGACTTTCCACAGCTGGTTAGAAGCCAAATCAATGATAATTAAGCCGTTCTATAAACAGAGCATGGATGTCTCCAGGGTGCTATTACCAGCCAACATTGTCCAGAGCTTGCTCTACCTCCACAACATCTGCGTAGACAGAATCAATCTTCTTTCTTTTTTGATCGCACTGCCTCTAATGTCTCATGTCTTTCATTGTTTCTATGTTATATTTCTCAGAATGAGCAATGCTTTTATTGCAACGTAATTCGCAAGAACATATCTAATGTGCTGATCACGTAACTTAAAAACTGTCCTTGTGTGATTTTGCATCTACTTGTATATCAGTCTGGGAACGTCAAGCATGAGTGAAATGTGTTGCTCATGTTTTGAAAAGTAAAAAGTGGGAATGAAACTTTGGAGTAATTGGTAATGGTTGGATTTAGGCTATATTGTTTGTGTTGGATGACTATGTGGCCTCACACCAAAAGCCATGTAAAGTTACATGAATGTATGTGCATGTGGTAGAAAAAGTAAAGTTCTGTTCCAAAACCTAATTAGCTGATTACATCATAGACACATCTCCAATACAAGGGTTGTTCCAAATGTAGGCAGCATAATAATTAGCAAATTATTTGCTATGCACTTTTATGCATTTTAAAGTATTGTTTCTTTAGCTTAGCAACATGCCAATGTCAAACTACTGGAATACATTGTGAGGTAAGTCTCCTGCACACAGGAGGCACAAAGCTTCAGAATTTCAATACTGCATTTGTGTGTGTGAGAAAGAGTGTAGGTCTAAGAGTGGCTTACCTGTAGGGTTGTTCTCCTGTGTGTGTTCGTAAGTGCCTTGTAAGATTAGCTGACCTGGGAAAGATTTTCCCACAGTACCTGCAAAGGATGAAAACTAGACTTTGATACAGTCGTCCAGCATTGTTACAACTCCCGTATTCAGAGGGTTGTAACTCATTGGCTGGGAATATTCAATGTAAATTTTGGATGAATATTAAAACAAAAGCAGATTATCGGTAAATGTATTTCTATATACTTTATTTCTCTATTAGGTGTGTTAAGTGTGTTGGTGTATACCTCTAAATATGATGATATGGTAGAAATGCTTTAAGTAAAGCTGCAGAGTAAGGATGTGTTTACTCTCGTTTCATGAGTGGTGCTCACCTGCAGGTGTATCGCTCCTTGCCTTTGCGTAAGATAGCATCGGAGAGAGAAGGAGGCGGGGAGCGGAAGTTAAAAAGGTGGTGTGAGGAGTGCTGGAGGGAATTGGGAGCATCCAGTTTCAGAGCGCTAAAGCTTTCCAACTTCTCAGTCATGTTTTCCATCGCAGACACCTGAGGAGAGAACACGAGGCGAGTTCAGAGAGGAATACTCTGTGTTTGATGCACAGCTCAGGGCCTCATTTAATCAGAAACTTCTCTTGAATTGATTTTAGGAGCCATCTGGGACTAAGAAACTTTTTTTTGTATTTGTATTTGTTTAGGGCAGATGCATGAAGAACAAAATAACAGCAGTGGTGAGGAACTCTGACAGAGAGCCTGGGAGTTTGCATCATAACCAGACAGGATGGAAAGCTGGAGGAAGTTATATATCAGAAGGTCGAGTCTTGATTGTGCTGTTCAAGAGTGACCTCCCTAACCTATGGCACGTTGGCAGCCACTCGAGCAGCCCCATGGGAGCCCCTGGCTCCTACTTTGTTCCCAACAAATCTCTGAGAGAAGCGTCTGAATGAGCCATTCACCTCCATGAGCGGTAACCGTACAATGCAGTTCAAGATACCCCTCGCTGATAGTACTTCCCCTGCTGCAGAACACAGGGGTTGCTATGCGGCTCTATGGCCAAAAACAGCTTACATCCTTCCTACTTTTGGAATATGGATAAACACAGAGACAGACAGTGTGTTTTAATTTATTTACCCATTTCTCGGTGTCACCTTGATTCTCTCACCCCCGGTTTCACAGACAAGGCTTAAGCCTAGTCCTAGACTAAAATGTAAATCTGAGCTGTTTCAACTGAAAGAAACTTGCACTGACTGATCTTAAAACATGTCACATGTGCCTTTGTTTTGTCTTAAGATGCACACCAGTAATGCTTTTTTCTAAGGCATGTTTATAAAAATTACTTAAATGTCCTAATTGAACTATGGCCTAATCCTGGTTTAGGCTAAGCCCTGTCTATGAAACTGGGCCTTAGTGTTTTAGTTTAGAATATTAACAGGTGATGGTGATATTCATGCGTATACCTTTTAAAAATTATAATCGCATATTTGATCTTCATTTGCTTTAAGACAAATATATAGTCAACATAATATACTTAAAAAAATATTATGCAATAAGATACCACTTAAGATGGATCGATAGACAGACAGACAGACAGAGACAGACAGACAGATAGACAGATAGATAGATAGATAGATAGATAGACCTTTATACCACTTGTAGAAGTCAAAATAGAGACATTTGATTAAATAGGGGGTTACTGAAAAGAGAAAAGGAAAGAGCGAGAGAAGGTTTAGATTTGGGGGGAGGTAGGTCAGCATTGATGGAGGCCAGATTTACAGCTCAGATAAGACAGTTCCCAACAAGAGAGGCCATTCTATTACACACAAACACAGGAAGTCCCTGATCGACATGCAGACATTATCTAGGCAGCCAGAGCAAGAAAGAAATGCTAGGAAGTTATTAGCGGTGGGACTCAATAGAGAACTTCCCAGAGACAATGGTTACTCCGCAAGTATGTGGCATAATTTGTTTCAATTCAAAAGGCCATTATTAATAATATTTTCATTATTGTTGTCACTGTTCAAAGGTGGGAAAGGTTTAAAATACTAACACAAACAATGGGGGTTATTTTTCTAAGCAAAAGATAACGAATTTTGAATGCACAGCATGACACAAAACAGGCAATACCTCTTTTGAGATTATCTTCATGATGAAAATAATCTAATGAAAATAAATACCATCAGATGTCAGAACATTTTAAAACAACAAGGCTCCCCTTGAACCAAAACAGACCAGAGGTGGAGGAATGTGTTTTCAGTGTCTCGCCATGCTCAGCTGTACTTGAATGCAAAGATGAGCAGAATCTTTACCAATGTACAAGAGGAGGTAAGGCAAATTAATGTAAAGAATACCTGAGGATGGAAAAGTAGTGGTGCTGGCCTCAAGTACTTCTCCTTTAGAGCTCCTACTGGGTCTATTAGCTTCCTCTTCTCCACCCTGCTGGACAACAGCACCAAGGGTTACGTACGAATGAAGTTTGGTTGAAAACCTACTGGGTACCAATACTTTTTCAATAACTTGTCTAATTTCAACATATCACCAGCTACTGCTTTGATTTGTCTTTGTGTTGGGCCTTACAATAAGACCTACTCGGGTTAAAATACCTGTAGATGGGGTCCATGAAGAATGGCGAGGGCTTGGCATAGTGGAATGACGGCTGCTGCTGGGGAGGAGGTGGCTGTGGAAGGGATGCTTGCGGCTGAGGCATCTGGGGCTGGTGCAAGTTCTGGGACTGAGTTAGTGCTAAGTGTTCATCTTTAGCTGCTTTGCAGTTTGTGCCATAGACGTGATTCTTGCGCTGATCGTGTGTGCCACCGTTCTGGTTGGCTCGGCTTCGACTGCCAATGCTGAGGTCCAGAGGTTGTTCCTCACCAGGGGCCAAGGGGGTATTGGATGGCAAGGCTGGCTTGCTGGGGGGTGGAGGAAGAGGTTTGACCTCCTTGGGTTTGGTGGTTAGGTCAAAGGGTGAATCCGCACCAGTGGCTGTAGGTAATTTCTGTATGTGCTCACGAGGGGATTTAGGCTCAGGTTTGAAGAACATGCCAGGATTGAGTGCTCTGTCTGTGAATGGGTACAAGGAATGTGGGAAGTTGGGCAGAAACTGGAAAGGGAACATGGGATGGTAGTTTAAGGAGCCCATTTTCTTCTCCTGCAAGCCCATGAAGCCTGAGCCAAAATACTTTTCTGCAATGGAGGCAATGGCTTTAATGGAGTCAGTGGTGGCCCCGGAGGGTGGAAGTGCTTGCTCTTCTGGCGGTGGGAAAAAGGAATGGTGGGAGGAGAGGAAAGGACGCTCGCAAGGGAGGTTCCCTGAACTGGAGACAGATACTAAACTGCTGCTCACTTCGTCCTGCTTGCTCTCCTGCACTGGTTTCCTCCTGCTCTTCTCCCGTTCACTCTCTGCCTCACTTTCTAGATCTGAGCCAGACACTGTGCCAGTGGTGGTGTCTAGATCTGTGCCGCTAGATGTGTTCACATCTTCCAAGTCACTACCATCAGACATGTCGTTCATCTTCACTTTATTCTTGTTGTCGTGGAACAACAAGTCCAGTTTGGACTCTCGATTGTCCTCTGACTGGCTGCTGAGACCGCTTCCTACATTGCCATTGCTGTTGTTCATGGATGCGACCGCAGAAAGAGTAGGAGCATCAAGAGGAGGCAGCTTCCCATCTTGACTGTTACTAATTGGGCTCTTGAGCAGTGGACTAGGAGGTAACAATGGCGGTCTAGGATATAGTGATGGGGGGAAAATCCCTGGGAAGCCATGGGAAAGGGCTGGGAATGCAGAGGGTGCTGGGGAAAAGGGCAAACCTGCATGATGCAGCAGCCTGGATGGAAAGTAATCACCGAAGCCAAGTCCACTATGGTTCACGCCATGATGAGACTTGGACTTGCCTAAAATGGGACTGGATGTCATTGGTATGCCCGTTGTGAATATGCCTCCGGGATTATAATGGTTTTTGCCCTCGCAAAAGCGCCGATGCTTGTTGAGGGAGGAGGTAGTGCTGAACATTTGCCCACAGTCTTTACACTTGATCTGGGTGCGGCAGTCTGCATGCATCCGTTTGTGACGGCACAGGTTAGAGAACTGGGTATACGATTTGTGACACACCTCACCTGGGAGAACACACATGACTGGTTAATTCTATTAGCATACTGTTTTCATTTGGTGTTCATTCAATAGCAGTGATAATCCGGCAGCTGATTAGATCAACCAATAAACTGTGCATGCTGTTTATTATGTTCAACAAACATGGCACTGTCTACACAAGGGGTAGCCAACCCTGCTCCAAGAGGGCTACCTTCCTCCAGAGTTTAGCGCCAACTCTAATCAAACACAAGTGAAGCAGCTAATCAAGGTGTTTGGATTACTTGAAAATTACAGGCAGGTGTGCTGGAGAAGGGCTGAAACTGAAGTCTGCAGGAAGGTAGACCTCTAGGAGTTGGCTACTGCTCTACATTGAATTCTACTCTGTTTTGAAGGTGAGATAAAAACGCTTATGTTATATGATACAAATATGATCCATTAGCATATTAATAACTCGATGAGATTCTTCATTAATAGTAGAGCTATTTCAACTAATTTTGTATACATACAAATACATGTACACTGGTACAGCATACATGCATTTGGACATTGGACGGTAACACACAGAACATTGTGAAGCCAAGCAAAAAGAAAATGGTGTTTTCTCAGTGTTGGTAAGAGGGCAGCTAAGACACAGCAGAGACATTTACCTCTAAACATTAAATATGCCTCTGCCTTGGCCATATACAAGCCTAATGGGCCCTCAAAAGAAAATGCAGTTACAAAAAACAGAAGAAGGGTAAAATGGAGTAATTAAAAGAGCAAAAAAAAAAGAAAGCACTAAAGAAAAACGCAACAAATGTAGAACAAAACAAAGAATGGCTCTAGAATTTCATTTAGTTTCTCTGACCTATAAAACAACAGCTGTCACAATCTTGGGGTGGAGCTAGCCGGGAGGTCTTTGGACACTGGTAATTGTATCTGAGGCTTAGACAAGACTGCTCAGACTTACAGATGAAAGGCTTGACACTGCTGTGTATGTGCTTGTGCTGCTTGAGGCCCGAGGAGGTGGCAAAGGTCTTGCCACACTCAGGGCAGGTGTGGGCTCGGGCACCGATGTGCTGAGAGCGGATGTGGCGCTGGAGGTTGCTGGGGTCTGTGAACACCTGAAGAACCCACAGAAATATGCCAGTTTAGTGTCAGGTGTAAACATAACATGGTGTAAGAGCAATTACTTGGAAATGAAATTGATTGAAAACTGATTGAACTGTTAGCATTATAATATATTTAAATCTGCAGTAATCATGGGTAGTTGACGAACATTTTTTGGAATGTTGACATGTCCTGTGGTGTGACATCAATCAAAAAGTATTTTTAAGCAAAATTTGGCTAGTTCTTAAAATATTTATTCTGCAGTTTTCATGATCTCACTTTAATCAAGACACTGTTTGTTCTTTTTAAAAATTCATTTGTCACACTGCATGACATTTTAAAACAAACTCCTGAATGTAAAAGGTATTACATTTACCTCAGCTAAATATTAGTCCAGGGGCACGTTATGTTTCAACTTCCCACATAAAATCTAATTAACGCTTTTAAAAATATAAGTGGTTGCAGTAAGTCACCATAACCTACCTTATCACAGTTTTCACACTCAAAGCGCTTGCCACTGTCATGTGACATCTGATGGCGAATGAGGTTGGATTTCCAGTTGAAAGCTTTGGGGCACAGGTCACACTTATACTCTCTCTCGTCTGTGTGTACGATCATGTGCTGCCCGAGACTAAGAATACATAAGAACACCATAAATATTTTCTGTGTGACCACCATGTAGGCCGGTGCTTCTAAACTGGTCTGTTGTGTCAAGGGAAGAACAATGCTAAATGCAAATAATATAACTAATCATATTGCCATGTGCATTTAGAATAGCAAAATAAACAGGCTTATCTTTTAAAAGGGTAAAACACTTCTTAGATTAGATTTTTTTTTTCTTTTGACACCAAAATCATCTGTCACTTGGTAGTCAAATTAGGCAGATGCCAAATATGGTTTGTGGCGACCTTTTCGTTTGCAGTCTGTGTCACGTTAATAATTTTTTCGTAATGTTTACCTATGTGGCTCATTGTAATTTTAGTAAATTTCAATGTTTGATGAATGTTGAAGGGCATTTTTGTTTATTTTTGTAAGATAAACATATTAATCATGCACATGTTTATCACACACATTTAACATACACATGTGCAATAAACAATTTTGGTTCTGTGTTGGGTCTCTGGTACAAGGTAAAATCTGGGTCTTACAGCAAAACCAGTTCAGAATGTATGCAAATAAATATGAAAAAGCATGGTATTAGAACAAAACTGAACTTTTTTGTTCTATGATTATAACAGCTTGGCGGGTAATTAGAACTTGCTCAGTGTGGTGGAGCGTACAGACCTGTACTCGCTAGGGAAGATCTTTTCACAGTCTTTGCACTCGTGCACCGGCTCATCGCTGTCTTCGCGCTCCTGTTTGAAGTCTTCGCTTAGTGAGTCAAACATCGAGTTGCTGCAACTGCAGGAGTATTTCTGATGCCGCCGTAACTCCAGCTTTGATGTGAAGAGCTCATCACAGTGTTCACAGCGGTACATCTGCTCATCTGTGGGGACGGCATCACACAGTTGCTCAACAATAATAATTATAAGGTCATTTTTTAATTATAAAATGCTCAGTCTCCAGAATTAGACCTCGAAATGTGTTTGCACACTTGAGCCACATTTAAAAATGTCTGAATGTTGTTAAATTAGATGACAAAAAAAAAATCAAGTGTCATTTACTTTAAAAAGAAAGCACAATTTTCCATCAAGACATTTCACAAAAAATAGGTTTTAAATAGTAAAACAATAGATATACTGTTCAAAATGAAAACAAAAATAGTTTGGCACTTTCTGGTTGTGTAATGTTAGTGGAACATGTCCATAGTTAATGTGATGAACTGCACCTGTGGTTATTCTATAGGACACCTGTGTGAACTGACTTCATACATCCACAAAAACATCACTAAAATATAGCTGCTTTAAAAAAAAAAGTCAATTCTAGAAGCATTCGTTTGCAAACGCCACTTGGTTGCACATCAAATACATCGATACAGTAATGAAATGTGTACGATTTTAAGTCTAGCGTAGGTGTCCACATATTTCTTTATAGATATCAAATGCGTAACATTAAAATGAACATGCAATTTTGGTAGTAACATTAATATCATCGAGCATAAAAAACAATCTGAAACAAGGGTTTCAGAACAAATATTTAAGATTAATATAAAAACCTTGAACCCTTGAAAATTATGTGAACAATAAATCTTTAACCCTCTGGGGTCGACAAATGCGCCGGCGCGTTTTGTTGAAATTTTTTTGAAAGCCCCTAAAATAACTTAAATTACTCTGTCAGTTTTGATCGTACAGATCAGAGCAATATATCAATCGAATCTGTAAAGGGTCTACTTTTATTTGTATACACGCATAATAACAACAAAACTTTGTGCTTTTGTAAAATAAAGAAAACACACAGGGTGCGCTGTCTGCCGCGTTGGTCTAAGTGATCTTCATTTTGAAACGCGTCACTAAAATGAACTGAACTAACAACATTAAAGCTAATGCATAAGACTGAATATCTGTCTTTGGAGTAACTGGGATTAAATGACTAAAAGCGTGGCTGTTTTATCCTTGCTGCTATCCTGACAATAAAGCCAAGTCCACAGATAACCCCAGAGTCATGGAAAGGCAAGGAAACTCTAAGGTCTAATGCATTAGCTATCATCATCCTCAAATGAAACTCATTGATAACTCTGATATACTCCATGCACTGCCCAGATCAGGCCAAGGCGGATGAGTTTCATTATTCTTTGACTCAATGTTTTGAAAGCGAAGCCCATGAAATGCTTGCACTGATGATGTCTACACCACATATTCTGTTTTATCATTATCAAGACACATATTGACAGAACACACTCCACAGCGATGCTCATAGACATCCTGCAAAATAAACGAGTATTTGGAATAAAGTGCCCTTGTGACCTCAAAGAGGCCTTTATGGGGAAAACTGAAGTCAAGAAAAATAAAAAAGATTTAATTTCTGTGCTGATTTTTTTTTTTAGCCAGAAAAAGAATCCGAGACATTATCTCTCCGCCCCATCAGTAGCACTAACGACAAAGGCAGGAATGTTGGGAAAAAAGACAGGGTATGGGAAACTAATAGCTCTTGGAGAGACGTAGGGGGAACACAATTACGTGCAGTTTAGCGGCTAATCTGTGAGCATGGGTGAGGTCCCTCGAGACTCCTCCAGCTCCACTCCAAATTCCACCACCGATAAGCCACGGGAAGGAGGTAGATGTAGAGAGCTCTCATTCCGTCCGTCTCTCTCAGCCTCTCGTCTGACTGACCGCCGGTCTTCGCTGACCATGTTCATTCTACTCTACGTTACTTTTCTTTTGTTCTCTGAATTGATCTGTCTGAGTGGAGCCTGGCTTGCATCTTTTGGCGTCCCTGTCTCTCTTTTCTCTCAGAGAGCTTTCTTCTTGGCTTTTTGGCAGGGAGATCTGAGACACATCTCTATCAGATAAAACCTTTTGCATGTGTTGGAGAGTGACTGCTGCTCTGTGACACACTTCAGTGCTTTTGCAATTTTCTAGTCTGTATCAGCTACTCTGCGCTTCAATTCCAAAATTACCAGATCACTTAGAAAAAAAAAAAAAGATTGAGAAGATTGTGAGTTTGTTTCAAGATTGCCAACTTCTGTATTTGAATAAGGAAACTACAAGTGACCATTGATGCTTTTAAAGAAAATGTAAAAAAAAAAAATAAAGTAGACAAAAACAATAAATGCTGCCACTGTGTACAGTGCAATGCGTATATATATATATATATATATATATATAATATTAAAATTATCATCATCATCATCATCATCATCATCATCCGTGCTTTTCAGAGACATGAAGCTTTATTTTGAACATGGCAATAATGTAAAAGCAATAATATGAATTTGTTATTTTTTTGTTGTAATACGGATAAAAAACGCACAAAGCAAACAATCACAAAGGAGAGGATAAACAGATATTGCAGTAATTATTAAACACAAAGCGCGTCTGAAATCGCGCGTGCTTCAATCGATTATTTATTTACCGAAGGCCAACAAGAAATACAAGAAAACTCACACATACAAACGAAATAAAGGAGCGCATCACATGCAATAAAAAGGTGAAATGAAAGAGTACAATAATAAAGTAACACAAATAAAATGTGCATTTTTAAATGCATTAAAAAAAACAATGTAATCGGAATCGGATGTGTTTTCGTTTTTAATTTAAAATAAACCAAACATAACACGCACGGAAACAAATTACTGGTTGTTTTTAAAATACAAAATCATAACTACTAATAATATTGTGTTACTTACACATGCGGCAAGACATTTGTACATTTCCGTGTAGCCTACTAAAATGATTTTACCAATGTTTATCATTTTATTTGTTGCACATACATTCTAAATAAAGTTTGTTTACATTATTCTCGCGGTCTGCCCTTTTTTTTTTGTTTTTGTTTTTGTTTTTTGGCTGTTTTGCTGCAAAGTTTCCTCAATTAAACACAATTAAAATCCTTCCAGAGCGCATTGTGATGACAAACCACATATGTTGTGTTCTAACATATACACACACACTCCAAACAGCCTGCATTTATTCTGTAAAATAAAATATATATAGACTTTAACGTAACTAAATCGATTGAAAATTGAATAATAACCCTGATCAAATAAAAAGGAACGGTCGGCTTTAAAAGACCCGGCGGACTCCACACACACCGAAGGCGGCAGTACCGCTTGCTCCCTCATGAGGGCGCTCAGGGCTAGGCGACAGCAGCTGATCTGGGCCGCTCTCCGAAATCAAGACATCCAGCTAAAAACCTGCACAAACTTCATCTCAGAGCTCTAATGTTGTGACAACTCTAATGTGTGTTACAAAAGTAGGCCAAGGCATCGGTTTGCCGCTCAAGAGGGGCGGCCAATGTGTAACATAGCTAGTATTATTGTTAACATTAATATTACATTTACAGTTAAACGAAGTTAAGAGCATTTCTGACCTTTTTCTTTCCCGAGAGTTGATAGAGTTGGGCTAGTTGTTGAGCGGTGGATCTCAAAGCCTCCAGTTGTAATAGCAGCTCTGGTCCCGTAGAGTTCAGCACGCAACCCATAGTATCATGACAGTGCGCCACAGCCGCGCGAGACAGAGTCCGAACACGCGCGTCTTTGATGAGGTGAGTCGCGCTCATTAGTGATTCTCTCTATCGGCCACTCCTCCTCTCTTATCTCCAACCAAAAGGACTGAACCCCTCCCCATGTCCTCTCCTCCTCTGACCACCGCATGCATCTATTATTGATGCAAAATGTATCTTTCCCAGCTAATGAAAATGTAAAAAATACATCAACTGATGGATTGAGCCCTCCGCGCTGTTTTCCACGGGGCTTTAAACGCATGCACCTGTTTTTACTCGCTTACGAACATTTAGCAGATGTTTTAAACGAATTGCATTTGCGCTTTTCGGAGGTCTAAATTCAATATTTCGTCGCGCGGAATCAGTTTATGCCGCCCGAGACACGTCACTGTCATATTCAGCCTATATTTAATGAGAAGAACGCTTTAATCTCGAATAACATATGTTCATAAATGACCGTTTATTAAAACCTATATTGTGAGGAATTTATTTGAGGTCAATTACAAACGATATTGCAGTATATATTAATAAAATGCAGCGTTTTTGCCGGTTGTTTTTCTCCAATTATTCTATTTTAATATAAATAGTAATATAGATGTATTTTATTTCTACATATGCCAATATAAAAGAAAGCATTGTATATTGTATATTATATATTGTATATTGTATATTATTTCATATTTTATAATAATATTATAGGCGTAATTATGATTAATATAGCTATTATTTTATAATAGTATATATCTATATTCCAATTGCTTCCCGTTTTATGAATGTATTAGCAAAAAATAATTGTTTGTTGCTTATGATACATTGAGGAAATAAAACGAGTGATCATTTCATCTGGAAATTATAAATTGTGCAGCGGATATGATCTAATTATCATGTTCTAACGTTTGTTATTGTCGATTTTTTAGGCCAACTCAAATTTATATTGTGAAAGAATTAGAATAGAATAGAAACAACAAACATTTAAAAGAATAAATGAACAGATACAGAATAAACGATGTATAAATAATTTCAATCACTGGAATATATATATATATATATATATAAGGCATTACATCATGAAAAATACATAATATAAAATGCCATGAACAATGCAGGTGCTAAATTTGCTAAGGAATCAGGCTGAAACTTACATGATCTATTTCTGAAAGATAGAAGTTGGATGTCAAATTGTGCTGTAGTCTTTGGCTAGTTCTCATTTGCTCTGGGTGCGTGGTAATGCCTACCTTTCACCCCAAAAGCAATCTATTATGATGGGGCTAAGCTGTCTCTACAGTAAATCTTTTCAGGATCTGACAGCACTGAGAGAGCCATCTTGACCCCCTCACAATGCTTTCAAGTGCTGGGGGCCGATGCATCATCCATCACTTAGATGA